GAAGCTCCACTTCTGCACATCGTGTTCTTTGCAGCTCCAGTCAGCTCCAATTTATGGTAATCCTATGAATGAGAGATCTTAAAAATGTCCTGCCTTCAACAGCCCTGCTTAGCACTTTTAAACTCCAGCCTTTTGTAAACTCCTTTTGTAAACTCCCTTCCTTTTGGGAGTCAATCTATTTCCTTCTTCTTTTCCTACTGGTTTCAACCTTTCTCACCATTATTGTCTTTTCCAGAGAATCTTTCCTTCTCATAATGTGCCTAAAGCAGGACAGTCTCAGTGTCATCATTTTTCCCTCCAGAGATACCTTAGGCTTGATTTTATCTAGCACCCACTTGTTTATTTTTCTGGTAGTCCAGGGAAAGTGTCATCATTTTTCCCTCCAGAGATACCTCAGGCTCGATTTTCTCTAGCACCCACTTGTTTATTTATTTATTTTTTGTAGTCCAGGGAAATCACAAAGCTCTCTTCCAGCACCATATTTCAAATGAATCACTTTTTTTCTCTTGTCAGCTTTTTTTACCTTCCAGCTTTCATACATGGTGATTGGAAATACAACAGTCTCCAATGACACATCTTATGATCCACACATTCAAAGGCTTTGCTAAAGTCTAGTGGTTATCAAATGTTGGGAACCACTAGACTTTAGCAAAGTGTTTTTGGACTGCATCTCAGAGAAACCCCAGCTAGCACAGCCCCATACATGGTGACTGGAAATACAACAGTCTCCAATGACATATTTTATGATCCACACATTCAAAGGCTTTGCTAAAGTCTAGTGGTTACCAAAGGGGTGAAGTCTTCTGGGAACTGCAGTCCAAGAACATCTGGGTTACCCAAGGTTGGGAACCACTGCTGTAGTGTATAAAGAATAGACTGGTCTTCTTCTGAATGTCCTTGGTGCACTCCAGTGGCTAGCAGATTTTTTGCAATATGATCTTCAGTGTTTCTTCCTTTTCAGAATACAGATTAAACATCAGGCATATCTTGATTCATATAAGGTAAAAACCTGTGTTGCAGCACCTTGAGCATCACTTTGCTTGCATGAAAAATTAAAGCAATGGTCCTATGGTCACTTCGTTTCTTGGCAGCTCTTTTTTGAGGGGACTGGAATGCATATATGTTTCTAGCCTATGAACCATTGTTTTGTTTTCCCTCTTTGTTAACATATACTCATTAGGATTTTGACAGATTCCATATCTGTCTTTTGAAATAGTTCTATCAGTATTCAATTTGCCCTTGATGAATCACTAGGTGTAGATGGTACATTGTGTAGTGCCACAAAGTAGATTGAGCCTGATTGCCCTGAAAGAGGGACAAAATGGGGGATAAATCACAATGCGGTTGCACCTACGTTTTGAGACTTGGGTTTCTGTGTCTGCTTATAGGATTCTTTTAAAAAGCTACATACAGAGCTCAGCAACAGCTGGGAAATTGTGCTACAAGCTCATGTGGTCTGGCAAGTAGAGAAGGGGGAAATCTCTGTGTGCCGATACCACTTGGTAACTTTAAGAAGTGTCATTTTATTCAGGATTCCTATATTTTATCATAATAACTCATGCTTCTAAAGCTTCTGCTAAATTGTTTTTAGCTCTCTACAGCCTTAGCAGGGAATCTGGCTTTGGCAGACAGGATGATTAGAGGCTTTTCAAACCACAAGGGATTGAAGAACTGAAGAACTCACTCACTCACTCACTCTCTCTCTCTTTCTCTCTCTCTCTGTGTGTATGCACACACATGTGTGTACATATGCATGCACATACAGAGAAAGATTGGAGATGGCAATTTGTGTATGTATGAGTTTTTATTCTTCAGTCAGTGGTAGATTTCTTACCCCAGGGAACCTAAAAGAGCAGGCATAAGAAAGATATAACAGGAGCAATTGTTCTGAAAATGTGGATTATGATGTGCTGCTACTGTCAGCTGTGCTTGGTTGAAGCATCAGCTCCTCTTAGCCTACCTATCTCCTAAGCAAGATATTAGTTGGAGATGATGGGAAACATTTGAGAAATGGCTTATTCACCAGTCATTGGTGAACAGTGGCATTTACAGCTAAACTACTGCCTATCCACACTACTGTTCCTGATGTACTTCTGATGTTCATGCTGTCATTTTCTTTTTGTCTTTGTTGTGTTTCACATCATGCTTTGATATTTTTTTTGTTTTGTCCAAATGTTGCAAAAATAATCTCATTTGTTAAAAAAATCCCTTTTATTTGCCTTCTGTTAAAGGACTGGCTGAGATACTGCCTGTAGCCAAAACCTCCACTTCAAGAGACAATAAATAAATCTGTTAAAACATTTTATAACTGATACAGTGCATCAGTTCTAATCCATATACAGTAGGAAAAAAAAATCACTTCTCCTGCCCCTTTGCTAAAAAGCAGGGCGAGTGATTAATTTGCCAATATTCTTAAGTAGCTAGCTTATTAAGCTACTTCATGATATTGGCAAATTCAAACCAAAAGGCTTGCTTTGGATAGGTTCCAACAATCACACATGCTGGAACTTATCCAGACCAGATGGATCCTACTCACAGCAAAATAAAATAAAATAAAATAAAATAAAAAGCCCTGATAGAGGCTCAGAAAGGTGTGGGATATGACTACTCTGGGGGCAGGCTAGTTTGTTCCAACAACGACATCGTTCGATCAAACTAGGCCATTTCTGCAGTAGACCCAACAGCGGGCTAAACACCCATGTAGTCAACCTCTTTGAACATTTGGGCAGTCCTTGTCCAAACTAGGGAATAATTCCAAAGCATAAGTAGCTAATGGACTGAGGAAGCATGTGTGTGCTTTTTGGGGTGAGATTCTCCCTCCTGCTCAGTCTGTGAACCATGAGGGTTCAAACTATAAGTAAGCTAAAACACAGAGGCCCTTATTTACATAGTTTACAGCCTATTTCACTTTCATAGCCTCCCCTAGCCAAAGATACAGCATACATTGTGTAGTGCCTTATATAGGGTATAAAGGAGGATTTACAGAATTCATGACTGTTTTATCAAATCCTAGGTTCAACCACATTTAATTGTTGCTTTCACATTGGCTTTCCTCAGGGATTCCTGCCCAGACTATGGCAACACTTCCTTCCAGTGACAGAGACAGAATATTTCCTTTGTCCTTTAGGTGTTTCTCTGAAGTTCAAGAAACATGAATTGCATTCCTGCCTGTACTGACTGAAAGTGTATCACTCAATCAGCTCTAGATGTGATAACACTATCAAGTAATGGAATAATTAATAAGGCTAGAATAATGAATGAGAGAGGGATATGAATCAGTCACAAGCCTTCTTCCTGGAAATAAATGGTTATATACTAAGGGAATTTGAGGTCAAATTATTCTAGACGTACCTAATGGAAATCTTGTGCTTTCTTTGAAGTGTTAGGTTTTACCACTGTCAATCATACAACACTGGTGGAAGTCAGTCCAGTGAGGCATGGCAATTTGGCAGAAAGAACAATTCTTACAGAACTGGGATCATCTCTTTTCCTTACTTCAAACAACAACGCCCACTCCAGTTCCTAATTTGTCATTCTCCATTACCATTTTCCACCTCATGATGGGTTGCTGAGCAAGATGGTCACTGTCATTTCAGACAAGATAAGCCACTACCAGTTTAAATGTGTGCAGGTCTGCTGTATACCAAGAATATACTGAAGAGTCAATGGATGGTGGCCACATGAGTACTGATGTCTATGGGTCAGTATACAAAATGATACTTTATTGTCCCAAGAGATCTCTTCTGTATCTGTGTTAGTGCTGATCAAAAGCTGATGACCATGTGACCGAAAAACTTGGTTAGTGTTTATGAGACGGCTCTTCAGTAAATCTGAACATTCTATGTTAAAGGAGCAATTTTAAAGAATTTACACTAAAATCTGGTTCAAGATGGCATGGCATAATTTGTGTTCCTATCTGAGGAAAGCAGATGGCATTAGATTGTAAAAACTGATTACCCAGAAAATATTAGAGAAAAAGTTGGATAGTGAAGAAGCTACAGTAGCAACTGCCTGGCTAGAAAAGAAGCCTGGCACAATAAAACCCACTTTAAAAAAATAAGTGGGGAAGTATATTCAGGAGTTTAGTTTCTTTTGTTTTCACTAACTTTTGTTGTTGTTGAAAGCCTGTTCAGAAAATACCTCTTTCTGGAGGACAAACTTGAATCAGAATCTCTAATGTCACCTTTTCTTAGCTGAGACGTGTTCTACTGCAGCATGAATTTCCAATGCTGCATTTCATTGCAATCCAGGTTTATTAAGAATTACCCAGCTATATCTAGCAGAACATGTTCTGCCTCAATTTATCTTCTTATTATCACTGGCAAACACCAGAGGCAGTTTGCCATTTCCCTGATGCTCGACACTTTGAAAAGTAACTAGATGTTGAAAGATTATGATTTTAAATAAGAAAGACAAAATGCTTTATGGAAGACTCTGCTACAGGGATGTCCACTGTGGCACTGTGTAAGCTTTTGCAAGCTACTGTAGAGCTGCACCCACATAGCTGTCACAGAATTGAAACAGCGGTGCTGCAGCATAGAGACTCAAAGCTTAACTGGTCTTGCATATGGATGATGGATCCTAAGATTCAAGAAATTCATATGACTGTGGGAAGCTAGCAAGGCAGAAACGGCATAAAAGGGCCATGTCAGGAGCACAGCAACACTGCCATTGCAATCACATAGAAAAGAGTCTCAATTCTATTGAGAGTTCAGAAGTCAGATACTAGCAAAAGAGATAATACACTGACAAACAGCATATATGTCAAAGACATTACATGTAATGATATATGCTAGTTCTGAAACTTAAAAAATTCCTTATATTTTCAAAATACATTCATAGACTCATGTTCAGAGAACAAATTGGAAGCATGACAGGCAGTTCTGTGATCAGCCTAGGAAGCCTTGGCTTCAACCGCACAAACCTCATTCTAATCATCCAATATACTTTCTCATGTCTTGGCTGTTTCTCCACTCTCATACAATTTGACCCCTTCTTACCAGTTGCTCTTCCAGGTGTGCCTCACATCGGTATCATGGATGCCATGCTTATCCGCTTGCTCATCCAAGAAATCAAACATATATTTGATAGCCAGTGGGAGGGCACTGCCTCGGTGCACAGTGCTGAACAAGGTTTCAAACAAATCATCCACAAACTTTTGCAGCGTACCCTGATGGAAGCAGAAACCAAAAACTGAGGTCACTTGACAGAACTGGACAGCTGTGTTAAAGGCAGCACTGCAACCGTCTTGGTGACTTTACCGCCTTATTCATAGACTGGGCACTTGGACCCTTTTTTGTTTACACTAACAGGAGTAGTAGAGGAAAGTGAGCAAAGATCACCCACTGTCCAGTGGGGGGGGGGAAACCCTGTCTCTATCACCTTGCTCATGTTCCTTGTGAAAAGGTGGACTATCCATTAAACTAGTAATAATAAAATAAAATAACATATGCAAGTTTTCTCTCTTCTTATGCTTCTGTTAGTTTGAAATACACAATTTGTTCTCTACTCTGTCTTCACTGTTACTTCACTGGTGGTATGGTTGTCTACTGTTAATTTAATTTTATCATAATTTTATTATTTGAATGCAAAAAGGCTGGACAGTAACAAATATCACCTTCAATAGATGTAAAGCAGAAACAGGTTTAAAGTCCTGATAGTACCTTTGTAGCTAGCAGCCTGGTTAGGTAGATCTCTGACACCATCTTACTGCCCCGATCACCCTCCTTTTGGTCACCATGATCATGGTTCTTGACTAAATGCCAGACCTTCACTCCACTCTCTAGGTCTGGAGTAATCATAGGTGCTCTGGAACGGAGACTGTCTGGACTGCCTGTGTACCGAAATGTGGAATCTGGGCAGGAGGAAAAAGAAGCTGGTAATGCACAAAAGGGAAACAGACTTGGTTACACCTCTGTCTGACTTTGTTCACCAGTTCTGTAACATCAAAGGAATCTTTAATGAAGGACAGTAAAAACCATATAAACACACTGGGTAAAATCCTACTGCTATTTAAAAATGTACACACAAGAGGAGTCACAGTAGTTGCCATGGCTAATGAATCTGTAGCTGGACACATGAGAAGAAACATGACCAACATCTATTGGCACCTTGTTAATTAGCAGCTATAGCCTCTGTGATTCTCTTACATATGAATAAAAATAAATCTAATAGGATTCTTCTCACTATCAAGCCACAGTCTCTTTCATTGGCCTATTGATCTAATTTTTGAAAATCTTCCAAAATGAACTAGACATTCCCTGTGTTTTGTGATTCGTGGAGTTGTGATATAGGCAATATTATGTATGACTACACTTGATTTTCTGCACTTAAAGGTTTTTTTTTTCTAATCAGAAGATTGATCTGATACAAAAGAGGTGCCCAGTTAAAAGTGAAAACAAAAAGACTGCTTAACTGCAAAACAATATGCAATAGAGAATTCAGATTAAAGGGCATACTGTCCAACATCTCCCATGCCAGGTGAGGAATCCAGTAGTTCCTAACCTTGGGTAACCCAGGTGTTCTTGGACTACAGTTCACAGAAGCCTTCACCACCAGCTGTGCTGGCTGGGGTTTCTGACCCAAGATTGTGAACCACTGCCCAAGAGGATTTAAGCAGATATTTGGAGTAAAATTCACTGTTCTTATGAACTTCCCATTCATTTGATCCTTCCTCCTTCTCATTCTCTAGCGAATGCTTGGTTTGCTACAACCAGTTCAGATTGAATTCTTAGCTTGTCCCTCTTCCCTTCTGGGTGACAGGAGGATTAAGGGGATCCCAGTAAATTAGTAGGAGAATGAGTGAATTATGACATTTTTTTCCAAAGCTTCACCCTTGATTAATGCTCAGATAAATATGAATATTCCTGTGGATGTAATTATGGGGTGAGAGCACTGAATCATTCTATTTTTAAACCAAGCTCTGCACTCATACCTAATGCAAATGTAGAGAGTAAATATGCAGTATCATTTGCATGCCATCTGCACAATCAGAGATATCAATATCAATGTGAGGAACAACTGTGTAGAGTCACTGCTGGCAAATACTCTTTTGGCAACTTCTCTAGATTTTGAAAAAAAAGTCAACAGTTATATTACCTGATATAACTGTTTTCTAAGTGTAAGAAAAGAGTTGCTGGTTGAAAGAATGTTCAAGGCAGATGATTTCTAGTAACTTATAACAAAGACATGTAGTTTCAAAGAGCTGAAATGATGGCATCTCTCCAGAAAAGTTGCCTATGTTTAGGAAAGTTGTCCTATGATTCTTTGACAGAAATGCTTTGAGGGTGAGAGAAATAAAGTTGGATGATGCTTAGATGCCTTTCTAATAAACCAGTCAGCAGAATAAAAGCATTGAAAATACATTCTGCCTGCAACTTCCCAGAGCTTTATTATCAGACATATGGTGCAACAATACTTCAGCCAAAACAAATGCTTATGAATAATGGCACACAAAAATAAATACATTTTAAAATCTGAGATTTGAATTTATTCCCTGTTTTGTTCTGTGGTAAAAAAAAATTGTATCCTAGCATAAGTACTTGAATTGCTTTTTAAAATTATTACTGTTTTTAAAAACATGATGGAATGGAAAAAAGGAGATGCACAATGGCAAATAATTAAATGGTATCATAAAACCAAAATAATTGCCTTGTCCTAAGGAGATGAACTTTGTAAAAGAAACAGAATATAAGAATGATAGTTAAAATTTTTTCAAAAATAAATGTTCACGACATTGATATGTAGCCATTTTTACGTGAAAATGATCTCTGGGATTAAACTGCACGAACAATAAATACAATTATTCTAAACTGGAAATAGAATTTCCAGAACTACTCTTTTCAGCTGTCCTAGGGGGATGACAGCGAGCAGGCACAGAACAAAGGCTCTGCTAGTTTCATTCTCATGAAGGTAAACTATGGTTTAACATTATCTGTGAACTAGCCAAATAAGAATGAGTTTGTATAGTCATGTGAGAAAGCAAGTACACCCTCTTTGAATTCTATGGCTTTACAATTGTATCGTGACATAATCAAAATAATCTGATCCTTAGCAGGTCTGAAAATAAAGTAAATACAACCACATATGAGCAACTACACATGACATATTACACCATGTCATGATTTATGTAATAAAAATAAAGCCAAAATGGAGAAGTCATGTGTAAAAAACTAAGTAGAATTCAATAAAGGTGTACTGTCCTTTTCACATCTATGTATGTATGTATGTATGTATGTATGTATGTATGTGTGTATGTATGTATGTATGTATGTATGTATGTATG